TAATTTTTTTTTTTTTTTAAACAGAACATTCTCCAACAGGGTACATTCTTGGTTTTATCTGGAAAATGGCTTAAACTGAATAAAAAATCCTTCAGGTGAATAAGAAAAACTTTGTGTTATATAAATATACACACACACACAAACACACATATACATTATCTCTCTCTCTCTCTTTTTAATTGCATTTTCTTGCCTTAAGAGGATCTCACTCCTATCTTCTTTCAAGGTGTAAGAAAAAAATACATCTGAAATTGAGTAGGCCAGAGTAAATTATAGGAATATAAAACATTTCTTACCTATCTCATCTGAAATACTTTGACCTTCAAAGTCTGCGCAGACTCCTACAGTAAAGCTATATATATAAAAAAGAAGTAATTATTAGCAAAAAGAGAGCTGACCTGGGAATCAGCAGTTCCCAAGTCATATCCTTCAAGTTTTCATTTCCTTTTCTTAAAAAGATGTTCACTGAGATCTGTATTTAGCTGCCTAAGATATTGCCTAAGTTAGCAAGTCTCCCAGGCTCCACTAATAAAGAAGACAGGGTCTGAATGTCTTCCTGGGAAAGATATGGAGAAGAGTCTCTGTTCTCACTAATTTTTCAGGCAGCCTACAGAGATCACCCTTCTAATACTATTGGCAAAGTTGAGCTTCAGCAAACCACCTTCGCATGAGGCTGTCTGCGGAAGTCCCTTCTGGTTCATCATGGTCAAATAAGAAAAATCCTTGAGCATGTAGTCAACACCCAAACTGTTTTCGAGCAAATCAAAACACACAGGATGATTTCCATTGGCACTACTATGACTTTTGTGATTTCAAGAGGCTATATAAATCATTCCAAACATACCAACTGAACTGATGAATTTTTGTTGCACAAGGCTAACCAAAATGTATTGTATTTAATTTGCAAAGTTTTGCAGAAGTTGGCAGGCACATGAATCAAAGCACAGAGAAACAAGTTATTCATGTTCATTATTTAGTATGCTAATGCAACACATTCCACACAAAGCAACACATTAGAAGTTATTCATTTTTCATTTGCCTTTTCATAGTTTATAGCAAGCTTTTTTGAGCCTAGCAATATTCACATTACAATTATAACTGTAGTATACAAACATCACCTCAGCCATAACTAGTTATTTCTCATAATAAACATTTATTTCCACTTCTCTGTAAGACAGGCAATAGATTTGCAGTTATACTCAACAACTGACAGGAGAAGCCTTTTATAGTTTTATTGGCTGATACCTTCTAACAAGAGTTACTATAAAAATTGATTAAAAAAACCTAAAAATTACAAATGCTTATAGAAAAGTTTAACTTTGTAAGGAATCTATGCAAGTTATATAAATATTTAACTGAATCAGATTTTAAAAAAGCTTTCACAAATTAGTCTGGATGGCTAGGGAAACAGTTATAATGCTATTATGCTATTAGCAGGGTGTACTTCCCTGATGAGTGACAAAACAAGAAATCTGTCACTGGAAAGATGCTCTTGATGTTTGAATTCTGCTGTCACACTTCACAAGGACCTAGTTCTCCACACCCATTCCCAAAGAAGTCCCATATAATGTAAAAAAATCTCAGGTGAAAGATTTGGGACTTCCTAAAACTTGCAAGTGTCCCTGGTTACCAATCATTCTTACAGCATATTTTTGTGGGTTCAGAAAAATGTTTTGTTTTGTATATGGAAGATTCAGCTACACATGCATTGTAGCTCAGCACTGGAAGATGTGAAATCAGCTTGGGTTAGATAAAAACATATCTGAATTAGCCATTGTTCTTAATCTCCTCACTACTGTTACCCTATATACTAAGTTCTCCATGCAGTGAATTCAAAACCAGTAATATAACCTTTAAAATAACCTGTAATCACATTGTAATTGCATGTTTGCTTCCTCTGACAAATGTAATGAAACTCTGCCACATCTGGGATTCATGTAACTCTCCTGACCTTATTAAACACTTTCCTCTGGGGCAAAAAAATTGCCATATGCCATTAAACTCCACTTAACTGTAGCCTTCAAATGACATTACAAGTGTTGATTCATATTCCATGCAGAAATTGCAAATTCAGTCATATTCCTACTTCTTTACAATTATGAGTTAACAGATGAAGAACCAATTATTTCCTAGTACTCAAGGACAAGAACAAGAAAAATGAGAAAAGTTTGTCTAATTGCATAAATGCAATTTAGACATCAGGCTTCACAGGCCAGTCTCACATGTCATAGCGTAAGAGTGTATTTTCTCAAATGTAAACTCATGAACTGCCATCATGTATTAAACTCGGTCATCTTGCTTTGGAGGTCTCACATAGTTTTTGCACTGTCATGTTTAAAAAAATGTTAAGTTAAAAAAACAGCTTGAAATGTTTTACTTGTTAAACAGCACAATTTCAGTGTATGTTTAATTTACTATAATGAATAGAATAATCCATCATACACATTTGATAACCAAAGTCATGTTCTGAAGTATTACTGTGAGAGCCAGGATGTAATCCTTCCACTCCGGGCAGAACACGTCAAAAAGGGAATGGTGGTGCAAAAAAGCAAAACGTTTGAGTTTGTTAGTCTCCCAGCCTCTGGCCATGTGAGAGACAAGACTATGGGTTTAGCAGAACTCTGCCACACATTTGTGATTTTATGAATATTTAGTTCAGAAACGGTTCTAAAAACATCACAGATTTCAATCACAAACCCAGACAAATGGAGATACGCTCATCACTTTAACAAGAAGATGTGGAGATGTTGAGTGATGCTTTAGCTGTAAGAAAAAGAAAAGCAGAGCAAAAGACAGACCACAAAAGAGGACAGGAGTCTAAAGGATTTATGAGATTTAAGATCTGACTCCAAGGCACAGTAAGAAATACAATAGTTGAGCTGTCGAGCTTGATTGTAGGAGCAATCAACCAAACAAGACAATTAACAATCAAAGAAAACTTCAGTAGATAAGAAACAACTGGGAAACTGTCCATCATCCTAAAGCATATGAACTTTTATGTGCTATCAATCTTGCCTCTCTGAAGAGATCCCCACATTGCATTTATTCTGCAGTGTCTGTCATCACTATAAGCTTATGGTTTAAACAGTATTTTACTGTAGCTAGGAAATAGAGGGAAAGCCTTAAAACTGAACACAGTAGCTTTTCCTGGTAATCTTGGCATAACAAAGCAGTTTGTTTGAAATAATTTTATGTTCTTCAGGTAGACAGAAACATTTTTAATATTATTAGAACAAGAAGCTTAAAAATATTCCTCTTTCTTCAAAACTACTCATGGCATAAATGGGGGTAGTCTCTTTAGAAGTCAAACCAAATCACCTAATATTACTCAAAATGGTTAATCCTTAGAAAATCAAAAAAGTCAGTTACCCACAAATGATGTTTTCCAGACTGCAGTTTGTACCAGAAAGAATTTATTTCGGTCCGGCTATTCTAGTAGGTGAAAAAAATAGGAAACTTACTTCAGGAAGTGAAAAGTAAGGAATTACCAGATCCTACCAGATGTCATTTGTCATTGTTGACAATCGCTTTAGCACACAGGATTGCAAAAGGAGAGGAAGAATGGATGATGCCTTAGCAGAAAGGCAGTTCAAGCTTTGATGCTATGGACTTCCATTCTGTGTGAGGCTGATACGCAACCTGCAAGGTCACAAACCTCTACAGAAGAACAGCAGAAGCTGTTATTGTCTACTGAAGAATGACCTTTAAACAAATTATTTCCTCCTTGAAGAATAATACGTAAAAGCAAGTCAATATACGTCTATTATACTCTAATACTTGGCCTGCTTTTAGATTTTGTTATGCCAAAGCCTAACCCAGTGACCCACAATGACCAACATGGAGCTCTAATGTTGAAGGCTTTCCATGGCTAGGCTACATCATGTGGCCAGGCTGTGGTAACATGAGGGCTGCTAGATAACTCAAATGTCTGTCTTTTGGATGTCTTTAGGGCTACTAATACCATCAAATTACCCAGCTGCATTCCTGGTACAGCAGAGGTCTGCAACACAGTAATGGGCTTCCTGGGTAGCAGCTGTGACCACCCGCCCTATTTCCCTCCCATCAGCCCCTGAGGTGTGAGGTATGCGTCTTCTGACTCTTGGCCATATGACTTTGCTGTCTGACTCATGGAGTCAGGCTGGCCAACAGTCTATGGCAAATCTCACACAAATTCATCTCAACAAAGTACAAAGGCCCTTAGGTCCATATCCACGGGGCACCGATCACACCCAGTTTCAAATTAAGTCAATAGAAAAAGAAAATACTAGCAGTAGAAAGGAGCAAAATCAGAAAAATAGTCCAAAAATTATGCAGTTAGGAAGGGCTGAAACATTATTATTTTTGGATTTATATTTTTGGTAGGAATTTTGTATTCAGCTTTTTTTTTAAAGTGTATGTAGAAATGTTTCATTTACTGGATCTAGCTGACTCAAGATTGTAAATATTTTATTACTGTTTTAATAATAACAACACATTTGGAGAGAAAAGAACCACAACATTTTTTCAAACTATTTTTTGACAGTAGGAACTTGAGGATCGGAAATTTTAAGCAGTTTGCCAGGTGGATACCTGGGTTCCCTGAAGAAGCCTACACGGCACATCTCAGATTACACATCCAAACACAAAAAGCACTAACAAATAAAAAACATATTCTGCAAATTGACTTTTCATCATCATTAGACACTTCCGTGCTACTTAATTTTTGGTAAGTCAGGTAATTTCTCTGACCTCTTGCTCCTCTGTCAAATGGAAGTAACAATATTTGCACATTACCTTAAGTTAGTGAGAGGTGGAGTAACTAAAATTTGTAGATATAATTCAAGCACAAAGTAGCAACAAAGTAGCTAGTGGAAACCAGATCTCAAATGGTAATAAAAATACCAATGCAGAGACAAATTTGACCTCTTGATAGCTGGAACCCAGTCTTGGACTTAGTAAGTCCTATGATGTAGAACCAGCTTTTGAAAAATGTGAATGATTGATTTATTTACCCCTTTTTACAGAAATTAACCTGCATCTTTCACACCTAAGGAAAAAAAAAAGGTCTTTTTACATTTTCTTTAATAGCTTCAAAGTTGCAGAATTTGTTCCAAATTTGTTAGTTTTGGGAACTCGGAAATAGCCACATTTTCAACATAGCAGAGAAAGAACTGTATGTTTCTAGACGTTCAGGACAAATCTCTTAGGACTGTGCATAAAAATTACTATTTGTGCATGTTTCCTCTGTGCTTCAGCTTTCCAATTTGTATCATGGCAAAATTTATATTTTCCTAATACTTGAAAATGTCCAATAATCCACATTATTCATACACACACACTTTTCTGGTAGGAGGCTTCCTTTCATTCCAATTTTGCAGTGTCAGTCGGTAGACATTTTATACAAGTTGCACAGCTGGCTAAGAGATACAGAAATCTATCCCATGGGACTGAGGAATTCTTTGCCTGTTGGAGTTTCCCTACTAATTGTTTTCATATGTACAATACAAGCTTGTATCAACTAAGGAGAAAAATTACAGCATGGAAAATACCAGCTGCTCTTCAGTCATTCTGTAATACAAACTAAATCTTTAGGAAAGAGTATTTCAGAATAAATCAGACAGAAATTAAATTATGCTCCTATTAAAACTCTTGTAGATATGAACCAAACATCTTCTGACTTACTGTTACACAAAAATGCAAAGTAATGAAAAAACTACACGTTAAAGGAGCATACTTTATTTTTTCCCCCTTTTTCAAACAATATCTAGCAGGAATACTTTTTTAACAGAGATGTTTTTATTTCTCTTGTGCAAAAACCCACCTTTTTTCTCTCAGTACACTTTCAGTAAATGTTATGGTTTTGAAATCTTTTCCATTACAGCATAAAACATTCTTAAAAAGTCTTAAAAACTGAAGTTTTTAAGTTCTGAAAAAACATAATTTGGATCAATGAACATGCTTCAGCCCACTGTCGATATTGTAAATTCTCTATTACATCAACTATTAAAACAAAAGGTGCTTGAATCAAAAAATCAAGATGGATCATGGTCTGGATCCTATTCCAGAAAGGCCAAAGCTTTTTACAGTTCTGGGACTGGCGAGTAAAGTCTACATTGCTCTGGGTAATTTTCTACACAGGATGTAGAAATGAGGAACATTATGATAAATATGAGAAGTCCCCTAAAGTGCAAAAGACTAGAGCAAAAGTGAAAATCTCTTGACAGCCCCATCCCAGATTTTCACAATCAGTAGATTTACGAACTTCCTGAGTCACAAATTGCATCAAATGCATTGAAAGCCCATATATTTAGTGGTTTAAGAGTATCAGAGTTGAGTTCCTTTATGACTCTTAAACGAACTGCTTCTGGTCATGATTTTTTTTTACGGTTCATATTTATCAATTCGTTCTAAAAACTCTTTTGCTGACTTCTACATTTGAGATGATTTTTAAAACTCGTCTCCTATAAAGAATTCCTCCAGTGTGGGGAATCCCTCTGACCACCTCTGGTTTAAAAGCAGTGCAAAATTTCTGCAGTTACCTTATCTTCTGGAATCCTCCTTTACACCTTAATATTCTTTTCATCCAGCCCATGTCCTGGCAGGCTTTCTGCCTCTAATGTGTTTAAATAAAACGGTATGACTAGGTTTTATGTCTTAGAAATCTGTTCCTCACAGTCTTTCTGGCAGGACTTACTGGTATTTTATATTCAACTTGCACGTGTTTATGCTCTGTTTTGTTTTTATTTTCCTCATTTGTTATGATTTCCACTTTCCAACAGTATCTTATGTATTTGTAATAGCCTCTTTTATCAACTGTTCCTGGGGTCCTTTTGAAGTGACTTTTTTTCTAGTGCGGTAAACGTGCCTTTATGTGGTATTATGTGCTATTAGATAGCCTCCAACTGTCCTGCAAGCATTTTATATTTGTAACTGATCTTATATTGTTTTAATTAGCTTCAAGTTTTTGAATGTTCTTTTTCTTTTCAAAGTTAAATGCTACTGTGGTGGAGGGTTTCTTTTTTAAAGATATATGCAACATTGTCCTTACAACACACTTAAAAAAATCTTTCCTCAGACCAATGACAGCCAGAAACAACATCTTGTGAACTGCTCTCAGGATGGCCAGCCAGATATCTTCTCTCTTCCACAAAGGACAGAGATCTCTCTTTCTGTAACAGAAAATGGCAGGCCCACCAGCTCTTTGCATCACTTTCACTGTTACATTTTCTCAGCAAAGATGTATGTTTTGACAGATCAATGTTTCTGTGTTTTGTCTGTCTTAGCTGTTTTGTGTTTCACTCATCCAAACACTGCATCTGAATTTGCAGCTTGATCCTAGGAGACACTGAGCATCCTCCTATGCAGAAGGAGAGTCAGTGTATCAAAGGGCTCAACTTTTAGCTACTTCATTTTGAGAATCTGTGAAGTACTGGAAGATATCAAAAGGAACTCTGTTCTATATAGGGTTTTTTGTTGCACTCATAGCATGTTTGAACATTTTTTTTGAACTTTGAACACATTCAACAAAAAGCTGCAAGAAAAGTTAGGAATAGGAAGTTATTTGAGAAAGAGGATGAGGACTTTTTTGTCTAATCATGAACTTACCAGGCTACCAAAAGCTGAGAGCCAGGGAGCTGACAAGTTTTATTGTCTGGATTCACAATCATGGGGTTCAGAATGAGCTGAGCATTCACTGTCACAACAGGTCTGGCTCTGAGGGACAGAAATAAGGTTCACTGCATACAGAAGGAGTACATTAGTAACTAAGTTGCAGCATAGAAAACACTTAACTGAGATGGCCACAAAGAAGCCGGAAATGTAGGGTTACCTGTGAGAAAACACTTTTACAATGCTGCTCCTACCCAAAAGAATTTTTTTTTTTTTTTTGGTCAGAAGCTGTGATACCTCCTACTACAACATTTTGAAAGTTCTTCACAAAAAAATCACCGGTTAATAGCATCACTGAAACAGTATCCTATAGTTAACAATAGGCGTGTCCTGGGTCTAGGGCACATCAGACACATTTCATCATATTGGGTTTTCACAAAGGGACAGAGTCTGCCTTTTGGGATTTACAGCAGTCCTTTGGCCATTATTTTATACTGTCGGATTTGTTTTATACTGTCTCCATTAACAGTGACATATTCAGAATTGCTATCTCTGTTTAAGATTCTTAAAAAAATGAACATAATTTGGTTGAAGTAGAAGTTGATCTAGAATATCTTGAGACAATAATAAAATAAACTCTGTCTGACATGTCTTGAGACAATTGACTTTGAAAATGAGGAATAATCATCCCAAAATTCTGCCGAGTATGTGAATATATAGTTGTGGTAATGGGAACCATCCCCTGAATAACAATCTGTTATTAAATAATGACATAATCTATAACTGAGAGCAATTTAGAAGACAAATGAAAACAAGAAAGGGTCTAAATTCTATTTTTTTAAGACAGCAGTACTATTTTACAGTAACTTACATCATTCTGGCAAAACCAGCTTATTATAAAATTACTTTCCTCATATTTTAATCCACAGCTGAGCTTTTATGCTTACTTCTCTATATAACTTCAGCAAGATTAAAAAATAAAATTACTTTCTTCATTTTAGTGCAACAGGAAAAACCTTTTTTCTAGCACATTTCCGTTAATAAAATTCTGTTTCTCCAGTATGACAAGTTGCATATTTGATACACTCTGGCCAGGAAATGGAAAAATTGAGGGCCTCCTGCTATTCACTTTCTTAAATTAAATAGGACACATTTTTTATTGCTGTCTAAAATACACACTGGATCTAATTCTCCAATGTTTCACATCCTGTGCAGTCATTCATGCCACTGCAAAGTGATGCATTGCAAAGTATTTGCATGATTCTTAATTGGGCAGTAGGAAAATGAGGTCTACTCACTGCACCTACAGTGTTAGCTACAATGAGCCAACATTCTTGTTTTACAAAATTCTTATGCTTTGACAAACATTCAGTTGGGAAGCAGAACACACCTTCTCCCAGTCAGGTACTGTTGGGAATACAGACAAGAAGACGACAGACAAGAATCAAGAAATATGACCACATTGTTGCAGCAATGGATGGTGAATATTTAAATGCAAAGAACTGTCAGCATGGCTGGACTAAGAAGGCAGCAGCAGATTTTTGTTTATGCGTTTGGTAGTTTTAATTTATACCTCTAATCAAACAGCACGTTTAGTGAAAATCCATAGTCAGCAACAACTTTGTGATTTGTAAAATGGGATCTCACACATTTTTTCTAAACCGAAGCTAAAACCAGCAGTCTTTATTGTCAATAAATAGTTCACATCTTAATGTACACAACCTCTGAAGAATCAGAGTCACTTGAAAATTTCTTACTAGTACCACTCCCCCAGGAAAGAAATTAATTTTCAACATTATGCTTTTTAAATTTCTCTCTGATGAGCTGTAGCAAGAAATTTTTGACTGTATAGGAACGTCTGTGACATTGCTTTAAAGGTAGAAAAGATACCATTTTCTCTTCTTGTCTTATTTGAAATTAACTGAGGAGTCAAACATTCCAGAAGAAGTTTCTTGAGCTAAGACTAAGCATTGAAATTTTCATTGAAAATGACAGGCTTTGAGCATGGGAAAAAAAGCATTTGTTTCTCACAAGATGCTTAATTTATCATCTGTAGTGAGCACCTTTTACAAATTGCACCAGGGAAACACAGGAATGTGAAATTTGTTTATTTGCAGATCTCCCACCAAAGCTGTAAAATAAAAAATCCATTGTATTTACCACATACCTGTAAACAACTGCTTTTCCAGCTCCAAATGCACCTACAATTAAATCTGGAAAAACAAAACAGCTTCAGAAGAACTATATAGAAGCCTCTCATACATTTTTTTTCCAGCCTAAATTAGATTATTTATATTAAAAATGCAGTAATACAAAACAAATGTGATAATTCCTTTCTAAGTAATTTTTTCAACAGTGTACCTGAAAGAAAACATTTCACATTGTCAGAGATGGGCTCATAAATGTCTTGGTTGTATCCAGTAAGCACCAATCTATTTAACACAAGGTCACCCATGCCACATTCTCACTTCTTTCCAGCTTGCATTAAAGGGGAAAAAGGATACCATTAACCCCTATACATTTTATTCCAAAACATTAATTGCCCATTACACAAAGAGATGCAAACCACTTTGTCATCACTCTCTTACAGATCATGTTGAAAATTTATGATGTTCCTTCCTGACAATCCTTCCCATCCTGCTTTGTGTTTTAAGTACTTTGTTCATTAATTTAAGCATTATTTCTCTGTGTACATAAATACAATGCACAGGTGAGAGGATGGCTGATTTCATAGTTTCTAATGTTTTCAGTGTTGTAGCAGCATGTGCTAAGGCTTACAATAGTTACCCATCTACAGCTAGCTTTTTCCCCATCAGTCACCATTTGGAACAGATGGAATCAACACCACAAGCACTACACTGGGCCTTGGGCACATCTTCGTTGCTGGACACCGTCCTGGGTTGGGAATCTACAGGCCCAACTATTTCCTCTTTTTCCCTGAAGTCCCCACACAGAACTCTCTGGAAAGATCCAGATTGGCTTCCTGGACCACACAGGCCTGCTGGAGAAAAGCTGGAGCCAAGCAGTGAGGAAAAATGATCAACTTTCCTGCTGCCTCTAGCTGGAACACAGTTCAAGAAAAGGAAAGAGCTTTGTTTCATTTTCAAACCCTCTCGTGTCCATCTGGGCACCCCTTTCACTCCGCTGTTGTTATCATACGATTTGATTTACACATGTCCAATTCAGTAGACTGAGTCTTACAATAGACCTTGCAGTGGTACAGACTGGCAACCTAAATTGATCTAAATGAGTTAATTAAACCAGTTGTGGTGGGTTGACCCTGGCTGGATGCCAGGTGCCCACCAAAGCTGCTCTATCACTCCCCTTCTCAACTGGACAGGGGAGAGAAAAAAAACCCAAAACCCAAACCAAAAAGCTTGTGGGTTGAGATAAGGACGGGGAGATTACTCACCAGTTACTGTCATGGGCAAAACAGACTGGACTTGGGGAAATCAGTTTAATTTATCACCAGTCAAATCAGAGTAGGGTCATGAGAAATAAAAACTAAATCTTAAAACATCTTCCTCCCACCCCTCCCTTCTTTTCTGGCTCAACTTCACTCCCGATTTTCTCTACCTCCTCCCCATGAGCCGCGCAGGGGGACGGGGAATGGGGGTTGCAGTCAGTTCATCACACGCTGTCTCTGCCGCTCCTTCCTTCTCAGGGGAGGACTCCTCACACTCTTCCCCTGCTCCAGTGTGGGGTCCCTCCCACGGGAGACAGTCCTCCACGAACTTCTCCAATGTGGGTCCTTCCCATGGGCTACAGTTCTTCATGAACTGCTCCAGCATAGGTCCCTTCCACAGGGTGCAGCCCTTCAGGAGCAGACTGCTCCAGCGTGGGTCCCCCACAGGGTCACAAGTGCTGCCAGCAAACCTGCTCCAGCGTGGGCTCCTCTCTCTCTCTTTGAGTCCACAGGTCCTGCCAGAAGCCTGCTCCAGCATGGGCTTCCCATGAGGTCACAGCCTTCTTCGGGCATCCACCTGCGCCAGTGTGGGGTCCTCCACGGGCTGCAGGTGGATATCTGCTCCACCATTAACCTCCATGGGCTGCAGAGGGACAGCCTGCCTCACCATGGTCTTCACCACAGGCTGCAGGGGAGTCTCTGCTCCTCCTTCTTCACTGATCATGGTGTCTGCAGAGTCGTTCCTCTCACATATTCTCACTCCTCACTCCAGCTGCAGTTTGTGCCAGGTTGTTTTTTGTCCCGCCTTCTTAAATATGTCATCCCAGAGGCGCTACCACCATCACTGATGGGCTCAGCCTTGGCCAGCGGTTGGTCCATCTTGGAGCTGGGTGGCATTGGCTCTACTGGACACAGGGGAAGCTTCTAGCAGCTTCTCACAGAAGCCACCCCTGTTGCCTCCCTGCTACCAAAACCTTGCCATGCAAACCCAATATACCAGTACTCAGGGTTGTAAACAAACCCTTACTTGCTGCTTCCATAGTTTGAGCACTGGTTTGCTTAAGAAGCCCTGAAGTTATCAAGCATGATGCAAATACAAAGCTTTGATGCTATTTAGCTGGGTGGGTTTGGGACAGGTCTGGCAGCATGTTTTCCAGCACTCTGTCTGCCTTTCAGATGGTCAGGATTTCACAAGTTTAAACAAGTACTTCACATGGGCAACAGCCTGTCCTACAATGAATTCCACTGAATAATGTCCTAATAGGAGCAGGCATGGACAGTTTATGGGTCTGATCATCCTTTCATACAACATCTACATTTTTCTACTTCCATTGGCCTTAAGAGAAATATGCTTCAGGGTCAGGAACAATTTAAATAGCAAAAGAAAATGAGTGTTGTTTCTGTCTCATTTTTGGGACATTTATGAGTCCTTTTCATTAGCAGCTTTTATAGACAACTTGCACACAGTACCAAAACCTAAAGATATTTTCCTCTTGAATAAACAAATAATTGAGACATAGCCATCATCATAAAGGGTACATAGTGCACATGGTAGAACTTTTCCTGGCAGCTCCCTGATAGCAGTACCCATGGTAACCCCTAAAGATGTAACATTCTGTTGTTCTTTTGGGTTTTGTGTTTGTGGGTTTTTGTGGTTGTTTTTTGTTTTAAAGGAAAAGGAAATATCATGCTATGAACAGAAAGACAAGAAGGAAGGGGTTTCCATTCTGTTGTTCCCAGCTGGACGCTCTTTATGAATTCTGCAACAGGGTTAGGATATGTGCTGTTTCATACTAGACTCGGTAACTCAAAAGGTTTCAGTACAGGGCTACATTATGGCAGAGACCAAACAGGTAGATATCCAAGACTCATCCAGATCCTGGTCTTGTAATGATTTCATAATCTGATCTTTCATTAAAAAATAAAGCACTCCAAGCCTTCATGTGCACAAGGGAAAGCTTGAATACGCAACTTGAGTAAGCTTAATAAAATGTAGCCTGTTTGAATCTGTTGTGGTTTAACCCAGCAGGCAGCTAAACAGCACACAGCTGTTCGCTCACTCTCCCCCTCCCCAGTGGGATGGGGGAGAGAATCGGGAAAAAAAAGTAAAATTCGTGGGTTGAGATAAAGACAGTTTAATAGGACAAAAAAGGAAGGGAAAATAATAATAATATCCAAAATAAGATGCACAATGCAATTGCTCACCACCCGCTGACTGATACCCAGCCAGTTACCAAGCAGCAATCGCTACCTCCCAACCAACTCCCCCTAGTTTCTATACTGAGCATGACATCATATGGTATGGAATAGCCCATTGGCCAGTTTGGGTCAGCTGTCCTGGCTGTGCCCCCTCCCAGCTTCTTGTGCACCTGGCAGAGCATGGGAAGCTGAAAAAGTCCTTGACTAGTGTCAGCACTACCTAGCAACCACTAAAACATCAGTGTGATCAGCATTATTCTCATACTAAATCCAAAACACAGCACTGTGTCAGCTACTAGGAAGAATCATAGAACAGAATCATAGAATCGTTTAGGTTGGAAAAGACCTTTAAGATCATCCAGTCCAACCATTAACCCAACACGACCAAGTCCACCACTAAACCAGTTAAGGGTAGAGTAATAATTTCATGTTTCCTGGCTTGGTGGCTGGATTATTTTTTAATGAAAGTAAAAACTAGGAATCATTAAGGTTGGAAAGGACCTCTAAGATTATCAGTCCAACTGCCAACCCAACACCACCATGCCTACTAAACCATGTCCCAAAGTCCCACATCTACATGTTTTTTGAACACCTCCACGGATGGTGACTACTCCACCACCTCTCTGGGCAGCCTGTTCCAATGCTTGACGACTCTTTCAGTAAAGACATTTTTCCTAATATCCAATCTAAACCTCGCTGGGTGCAACTTGAGGCCATTTCCTCTTGTCCTAATTAAATTAAGAAAATTAACTCTATCCCAGCCAAAACCAGGACAGAATCTGAAGGTAAAAAGAATGAGTCTGTCAGATACAATTAGTCTCACTAGTATGAGTGAACTCTTAATTTCAGTATCTCCAGCTGTGCAGACTTAGGTCCCCATGATCTCGGCATCCCCACTTTAATATTAAAGGGGATTTTGTGCATCTGCTTAATAAATCCTGGCTTCTTTGGGAAAGAGACCAGCTTATTTGAAGACAGAGGGTAATGGGCCTAGAGGAGCAATGGTAGGCCCCAGCCACCAAAAGACTGGTTTTCCCTGAGCAGTCTTTCTGCATTGCCACCTCAGCCAGGTTTGGAAACACAGCAAAAAAGATGAGGACATTCAAATCATGGCACCATCACAAAGGCCCTATCTGAGCATACTCTAAGGGCAGCCAGGACTGTACTCATCTGGCTCTCATTTCGAAGCTCTTACTTTTTCCCTGACATGTCCTTTATTCTCTGGTCTAAGCCATACTTATTCTTGACCAAAAGATCTTGAATGATAGCAGGAAAAGCACACTTAAGAATGAATATGCAAACAGTAAAACATGTCACCCAGTAGTGACATCTACAGTCTAATGTAAGGATCAAGTCATTATATATTCAAGCAGAGTATTCACTGGAAGATCCATTACGGATTTTGCTTTGCTTCTGCTTGTTCTGTTACAGAGCAGTAGTTGTAGTCTTTCTTTCATTGCCTTGTGGGGTGCAACTCCTATACCCATCATTGGGAAAAACCATTTTTGATATTGATACAAATCCATAAGACTTGAATACACATCAAATCAGAGCACTTTTACAAGCATTAGTTTTGAATTTGTTGTGTGTTCTGCAGAAGTTACTAAT